GAATGCCCTCCAGGGTGGGATAAATGCTTACAACCATTAGAAATGGAGTACTGTATTCCTGGCTTTCATTAGCTGCTAATTACTCGCGGGTACCCCAAAGACTCCTAGTTCTCTAAGAAAATACACTATGCAATTGAAATGTACATTATCATATTACTGTGTACTTGTGGCCCAAGCAAATGCATTGTGATGGGAGATGGGCTTACGTCACACACTTTGGATCCACATTTCAAACACCCCAAAGATGTGGAGGGCTCATATCTGGATTTTTAATTCATACAATTATAAAGGTAAGAGAGGCTATCTAAAGAACGTAGAGCCACAACTACGTTTAGAGGATTGGATTCAGGGATTGAATTTTGGCCCACTTCTAACTGTTACAGGTTTTGATTTTTTTTAAAATTCAGACTATGGAAGAAGCAGGGTAAATGGACCAGAGGGTTCCTACATCGGGCCTTTCAAAGACTTGATTTCAAATCCTGAGGATACAAATAAACTGGTACTTGGTAGCCTCGTATGAAATCCTTTAATAGACATGAGTCTGAAATCAAAACCAAACCAAACAATCCACCCACCCACTATGCAATAGGCTATGTTTCCATGTCTCAACTCTGAAAAGCCCCTGGCTTAGGAAAACCCGGGCTAGAACTCTCGTGTCATAATCAGACCCAACAAACAAAAAACAAGATCCAAATTTGGTTTATGTTCTGGGTTCTCTTTAGCACTGGGTGGGAACAAAATGGGCTGAAAAATCGAATAAAATAAACTCTGCACAGAATATTGTGTACTTTCCATTATTCACCAGGCCAGAAATAACATAAGAAAAACTCTTCTTGGGGTATTGGGAATTTCTGTTTTCACGCCGAAGTAGGAAGCCCAGAGGCAGCAATAAAGATGAAATAATAAAATAAAAAATAAAAAATAAAATAATATAATACAATAATAATCATAATAATTAATCTTTTTAAACCACAAAAAGGCTGAATTTGAAAATCAGACAAAAGTTTGGGTTGATTCTTATCATACCCAAACAACCCTGCTCCAGTTTTACGGTAATCACTGTCCAGGTGGGTCTCTCCGGAAATTTTCTGAGACTAAATTTTTGTGGCTCCCAAGTTTTGGTGAATATAGTGAAAAATGCCCTTTCTTGTGATCTGCAAAAAAAACATATCAGGAAGCAAGGGGAGAAATGTTGCTGACAAGGGTGTTGGGGGACATCAAACAATGATTTTAGAGAAATAATCTGTAGAAATAAAATTGCTAAAGAACCGCTAGACCAAATCATATCACAGACTTAATTTTGAATAGCAATGAGTTGAAGTACATTAAATTTAATCTAGAATTGCGGGTTCTGGACAGAACTAAATCAGAAGTTAGGTCTGAGAGCCAATTCATGTGCACTGAAATCTTCTTACGAGGGGGAAGAAACCTAGTGAGATCCTCATACCTCATTATATTTTCATACAATTAAAAATTTCTCAGATGAGTTGTTCTCATCAAAAAATGTCTGCATTCAGATCAGAACCGAAAACAGGCTCCACCTAATTTTGGATCTTACCTGCAAAGAAAAAAATCTTATCTGGGGGAATTAAAATCCTCCATTGCTTGAAATCCAAAAGATTGGACAAAGTTCTAGCTGTGTTCCATCTCTAAGGGTGTGTCTACAATGCAGGGCTTAACTCAAAATAACCTATGGAAATTGAGCAACGTCAATTGCGTATCTTATTTCGAAATATTTTATTTTGAAATAGGGAGCGTCTGCACAGCACTTATTTTGAAACAGAGCACTCTTCCTCCAACTTCCCTTATTCCTCGTACAATGAGGGTTTCAGGAGTCAGAGTAAGAAGTCCTTCAACTTGTCAGTATTTTGACACTATTTTGGAATAACTGCCTGCTGTGTAGACGCACACCTGCTGTGTTATTTTGGAATAGTGTTGCAGTGTAGGCGTACCCTGAGTTTCAAGACATTCAAGAAAGTTATTAGGCTTGTACAACCTAATCCCACTGAGTTTTGGATCAAAACCTCAGAGATTCTTTTTGCTTTAGCAAGGTGTTTACCATTTGTAGGAGTAAATAGCGTGCCACGTTGGGCAGTTCTCTTGAGAACATGATACTGTGATGAATCCCCTAAAGTTTTACACTGAATTAAGTTATTGCCATGTTTAGAACTGAATTGCACAATTTATATTAAAAAAACCATGTTAAATTCCATATGGTTCCTAGGTGCCTTTCACCCTTCTTCCTGACCAGCCCCAAAAGGATACAAATCTGGATTTCTCCACAAAGGTGCCCTAAATTCTGCTGCCATTGTATTGTATCCAGTGTTGCGGACAAAGGTAGGGACTTTCTGTACTGGGCACACACCTAATCAGATTTGCAGCTATAAAGCACTTACAGATATTTCCAAAAATGTACTCTGGGCAGGTGGAGAAAAAGGAGTAAACTCCTTGGCTTTTCTATATATTAATGTATCTTTCCCTGTCCTAACATCCACGTGCAATTCATTCTCCACTCAGTCACTGGGTGCCCACATTCCAAAATGGGTACAAAAGAATAGATGCACAAAATGACTCCACTTCAGATGCCTAAAACTCCAAATCAGGCCTTACAAAGATTCACTTGACCTGTTAATCTCAGATCAGATCAGTCCCCTATGGACAGGGGCGGCCCATGACTATAGGCCGACTTGGCCATCGCCTAGGATGCCGCCTTCAACGGGGCTCCCGGGCACCCGATGACGATGTCACTCCATTGACGGCCGTGCAGGCAGGGGCTCCGATCATGTGTTCCGCCTGGGACGCCAGCTGCCACAGCCGGCCTTGGGCCGCTCCTGCCTATGGGCAAGCTTATATAGCATTGGGTGGGGAAAAAAAAGGTCTACCTTCCTTATAGCTTTTAGTTCAGCAGTTAGGGTACTCAGCTGGACTGCAGGAAACTCCTGGTTCAAATCACTACCACTGCCTACATTGGAGGGAGCAGAGGGAGGGCGGGAAAGGATTTGAACTAGGTTCTGCCACCTCTCAGATGAGTGCGCCAGCCAGTGGGCTGTGAGATATTTTTTACTAGGGGGAACAGGTAGCCAAAGGGCTCCCTCAGTCCATTCTGTTGCTGCTGTCCCACCAGAGACAATGAAAAAGTAACTGGACAGGAGCCTGGGTCCTGCACCTCTCTCGAGTGCAATCTCCAGACTACCAAACCTTTCTCATGCTTGCTGGCTCTGGCATGCTCACTCCCTCTGGCAAAGGAGTCTTTCATTATTGTTCCACAGTGGAACAGTGTCAAGGGGAGGGAGAGGTAGCAGAGTCCAGTTCAAACCCTTTCTCCCATCAGCTGCAGCTGGACAAAGGATATCCCAGCTCCCAGATAAGGACCCTCCTCACGGGACTAAAAGCTGTAAGGGGAGCCACCCACCCCAAGCTCCTTGCTAAAATGGTGTAGGCACATCATGACACCAAGAGAGGGTTTTCAGCCAGGAATCCCAAGCAGAGGGAGGTGCTTCTCCACAGCCCAGACTTAACCGCCTATCTCTCATAGAGGGCAGGGCTTAGCACTGCCCATCCCTCAGTTTGGCTAGTTTAGGCAAGGAGCCCTTAGCACAGTGGTGGGCAATCTGTGGCCTGAAGGCCACACGTGACCCGAAGGCCACACGTGGCCCATCAGGGTTCTATGTGTGGCCTGCATGACATTTTGTTTACCGTTGCCCATACACTGGGTTGCCAAATTCTGCTGGTTTCTATCGGCATCATTTCCCCTCCCACCCCACTGGTATTACTAAAGTGACATGCACGTAAAGCAAGGGCACAAAGTGAGGTGTGTGCTGATTGCACACAACACTGACTGTGAGAACCGTGCGCTCCCTTCTGCATCCATTCAAAGTGCTGCTACAGTTCAATCTACACCTCCGGCAAATTTTAGGTATGGAAATACAGTTAGCCAATCTACCCTATCCCAGGAGACCATCTTGGTTACTACAATCTTGCGGCCCACTGAGATGAAGGAGGTCCACTCATGTGGCCCACTCGCTACCCTAGGTTGCTTTTGTGTATCCCATTCTTGGGTGCCTTCTGTAGGGAGCCAAAGTGCCTAACTCAGGCTTTCTGAATTGAAATGATTTTCTAAGCACCTAAATCAGTGGTGAGCATCCCCCGGTCTGAAGGCCACTTGCAGCCCATCAGGGATTTAGCGGCAGCCTGCACAAAATTTTTTATTTGCCATTGCCCATGCATAGGGTTGCCAGATTCCACTGGTTTCCATCCATGTCATTTTTTTCCATACTGGTATTACTAAAATGTCATGCACATAAGCAGAGGCACATGAAGTGAGGTGCCTGCTGATTGCTCACAACATTGACTTTAAAAGCTGTGCACTCCCTCTGCATTCAGTCACGGTGCTACTACAGTTGAATTGGCACACACCTCAAATTCCAGGTACGCAAGTGCATTTAGTAAAAACTACCTTGTCCTTGGAGACTGTCTGGATTCCAACAATCGTGCAGCCCACTGAGATGGAGGAGGGCCACTCATCCAGCCCGCTCACTGGCCTAGGTTGCTCAATGCTGACCTAAATACCTTTATCAATCTAGCTCAAATTTAGTTGCTTTTCCATGGTACTTCTTATTTTTTTAATGTATGTTTATTGGTTTCTTTAATTAAATTCACGTAACTGTGCAGAAACTTTATATAACACATTGAAACAAAGATATAAACCAGCAGTCATGCCACAATGTTTTCCTTAAGGACCCCAGTAAAACTGCCACCGTATTTCCAAGATCCCACAGAAATATACATATCTCAATTTCTATAACATGTAATTTGTCCATCTTCTGCCTTTTGCATTTTGATTGCAACAAGCAACTCGTAACATTTAAATGATTATTTTTTATTCAGTGATGATCAGCAAAGGAAGAAAACTTGTGCCCTTTTGCTGATGTTTCTTGGTATTCAATAAAGAAACAGAGTAATTTGTTTTTAAGCTGTCATTCAGGTTTTGTTTTACTTAGAAACGTCAAGATCAATTGCTGGACAGAATGCTGCAGTGTCTCCTCAGGACCACAGGATCGTACAAGCACACCAGACTGCTCTGCTACTCCCTCCGCTGCCTTCGCACAAAATTCCTAATCGTCTTCAAGGTCTTGGTGCTTATCTGGGCCTGCAAACTCTAAAACACCCTAATGCTCCAGATGAAGACCGGTTGCTGGATACTCTTCTCCAGCATAAGGGAACCTTTACAATAAGGGTAAAGACTGGTGCAGGAAGCCCAATCTGAGACTGGAGTGAATTCCTTCAGGACCGAGGACTATCACAAACCTCAGCGCCTTCTGCTCCAACTGCAAGAGCTTGCTGCTCTACCACAAATGCATGGCAAAGGGTATATTTTACTTATAAAATCCCAAACACAACAAACTGACAAACCCCCTTCCTACCTAAACAAGACATGCTACTGTACATACTGCACCTGACAAGATGATACATTTCATGTGACAGATGTGTTATGTTGCATCATACATTACTGGAAGGCACTCAGATGCTATGGTGATGAGTGAAGTATAAGAACCCAGATAGTACCAAAGAGAATAGTAAAATTTGGTCTTGTTTTGCTAGAAGGTTCATTGGCATTCTCACAGATGTAGTTGAAAGGATTTTAAGGAGGTGGAATAAAAATCACTTCCCCTCAATTAATTAGGGTTTAACTGCAAGGTTTCTGGTTGAAGCCTTGGTCCTACCCATTCTCTAAACATTTATAGCAGTGTTTCTTAAACTGTGTTCTGTGGTACACTGGTGTGCCACGAGGCGGTTGGAGGTGTGTCACGGAAAACAATAGCTTTAAAGGGGCAAGCAACTTTTTTTTTTGGCTCTGCTCAATAACTTTCCGCCGACCTCTTTTTTTTGCTCAGCAAAAAATCCTTGGCATTCCTCAGAAAAAATAAATATTGTTTGGTGTTCCTCAGTCTTAAAAAGTTTAAGAAACACTGATTTATAGAGTTCTGGAAAAAATAAAGACATTCTGAAAAGACAAATTGAAATTGT